TGTAATTTTGCCAGAAAGTAAGACCAAAGGTCAGTGGAAGTTGGGGCTATTGATCACCTGTCATTCTGTTAGCAGTCCTGCTAATGGTCTCCCTCCTGGGAAATATGAAAGAGGAAAGCTGACATGTTGGCTATGGCAAGGTCCTCCTGGGTCAGCTGGGAGGAAGGAGAGTGGGCAGAGGACAAGGAGCTAGACATGCTTCAGTTCCACATGGAGAGGAGCTTCAGAATGTGACACACAGGCTATCTTGGGGTAGAGAAGGTGATCAGAGGAGTTGAAGGAATCCAGGGTCGGCACTGGTGTAGATAGTAGGGAGGCCTGTGTTTGAAAGGTCACTGTGGGATTTGGGGCCTGTGGATGGGATTATTGGGAGTTGAGGGTGAGGCTGTTGGCTACTGTTTGGCTTACTTTGGGAGTAGAAGGGAGGAAGAGCTAATGCCACAGTTGCTAATGAATGGGGATGTGTGAGCCATTCATGAAGGTGTGGCAGTCCCCAGAAATGGTTTTCCGGGCAAACTGTGGCTTTCCTAATGCATCAGCCCCACCCCGTGCCAGTGGTCTCCCTCCCCTCCAGCCTGCTCACCTATTGCTGCTGATGCTCCATTGGCAGCTGGGAAGGCAGCTTCTGTTGGCATGTGGAGCAGTGGGGAGCGGCAGGTCTGCCCTACCAGATGCCCCTCTCCTCCTCAGTTGGGGAGCATGGCCCTGGAACAGACAGCCTCACTGTGGAGAGCCCTCCCATGTGGTTGGGGCAGGTAGCTTAACCTCTCTGTGCTTAGACTTCATCTGTGCACTAGTTGTGGGTGACATAGGTGGTTACTAGGTTTTTGCCACCTTTAGTTGCAGTGAGCACAGAATGAGCACCTGCTTCTGGTGATGAGTCCCTGAACAGCCACAGTGGTGGACACTGTTTTACTTTTTTTTTTCCCCCCTTGACTTGGCTTGGTTCCACAGATGGCACTGGAGTGTTTGACTTTTGCTTAAGATAAGACCCTGAGAACAGACACATATTGGCCACCTGTTGTGTGCAGCCACAACCCTAGTCATTATCTGACAAGACAGTTCAAGGGGTTGTCAAAAGAGTTATCTTTACCCAAGGTCCCCCTTTATAAACTCTGGAGCATGTGGACTGCTTTTTTTTTTTTTTTTTTTTTATGATTTAGAAAGGTTTAATAACCCAGCAGCCATCATTCAGCTACTAGATGTCCATACTGTACCTGAACCCAGCTCTAGTTGAATCTTGTACCTATTTTTTTTTCTTCCCACCCCACCAGGGTGTGCCAGGCTGTGGGGGCCCCCTGTCCCACACTTTTCTCTGATTCCTTTTAACCTCCATTTTTAGTGGGGAAAACAGTTGTATCAGCCAGTATACTCAGAACACAACTGTTAGGTGGGACCAAATGACCCTAGGACTACTCTTTGAACATTTCCAGCCTATAAAAATGTCTGTATAATTAGCTTCAAACTGATGCTTCTCTCTCTGAGGTCACTATCACTGGGTTATTAGCAGACATCTCCTGATTGGTTTCCCTGATTCTGTCCTAACCACTCCCCTCTTGACACTGTAGCCCCAAGAATGAACAGCCCACAGGTAGGTGGAACAGGCTGCCCCCTCCTGGCTACTTTCTCAGGCTTCCCCCCCCCCCCCTTAAAAAGGTGCTATGCCATCTGGATCCCTGCTGTGGCCAGTGGAGAGGATTTTCAAGATTTTTTTTTCTTCAACAAAAAAATCATTTAGAAAGTTCAGCAAGTCCTAATTCTTCGAACTATTTAAGGATAAATTTTAAAATCTAGAGAAAAATTTGTGATCATGGGATTTGCAGCCTTGGCTTTCTGGCAGTAGTGTGCAAAGAGGACTCCCCTCCTCAGTCACTGGGTCCTGCTGCCACTGCTGGTCACACCAACCCTCACTCCTGTTCAGAATCCGAGGTGCATTTTGCTGTGGTCAGAAAAGAGAGACCCCAGAGCTGAGATGTAAACTTACTTTCCCACCTGGAGGGAAGTCGGGGGTGGGAAAAATACCAGTTTTGAGCTATGCACAATTGCAGCACTTGTGGTTTTTACCAATTAGTAAAACCACATATTTATATTGTTCTGCATTTATAGTTTACAGATTAATTCTTTGACCTTATTTGAAAGTCATGGACCCAAGAGGTTAGAAACACAGAGGTTTGGAAATCTGATTTTCTGGGTTCAAGTCCCAGGTCTACCTAGTAACTTCCCTGGATCTTATTTCTTCATCTGAAAAATATATGGCAGTTTGCCCTCTAACTCTGGTTCTCTGGTTCCTTGGTGGTTCTTTGCTTTTTGGCTCTTTTAAGCTTCTACAGAACTTGGTATTTTGTCCTTGTAGTGTTGGTCATAGTCCTTGAAAACCACTTTATCTCCTGCAGTTAATTTATTGCAGCAAGTAAAACACTTTCTCCTGGGCTGTTCCCTGTCCCTTAAAACAGAAATTGAAAACTAGAAGCCTCAGAGCCAGGACAACCTGCAAATCAGTCTTATTTGAACCAGAATAGTTAAAAATTGCAGTTGCTTTGAATTATAGTCTGAACTATCACATAAACTCTGCATTTTGACTTCTGGAAAAAGTCAGAACAGTGGACCCCTCTGGCTCAGGGTCTGTAGAGGGGCCAGTACCAGTCAGCTGGAATGAGGAGCTGCCTTGCCTCTTGCCCTGTTGGGTGGGAAAGGGGTCCTCCTTGCCCCTGATACCGTAAACCTGCACTGGTTCTCCTTGAGGCTTCCTGCCTGGCTTGCACAGACCTTGGTGTAACTTCTGCATTTGGCTTTGTTACTTTTGGTGCTTTTTGGGGGACAGTAAGGAATCATCATGGCAATTGACTAATGGTTGGCACCAGTGGCATTCCAAAACAGAAATTGTTTTAGAGCTCAGAAGCCAGCATGGATGCCAAAGACAGTGTGGTTGCTTCAGGTGCATTTAACATTTAAACTGAGCTCTAGTTAGGTAATCATGACTAGAGACTAGAAGAAAACTTTAGATATGAACTAGGGCAGCAATGCCCCCTTCTGTGTCACAGAGTGGCAGGTGATTTTCTCACCCACGCAAAGCCTTAGTGTTATTGGTCTAGGTTTCTAGAAGCTGAAAGCTTTGCCACCAGCCTTGTTGAGTAGATGTCCTGGGCCACTCTCTCATCCTTGAGAGCCTCTGTTAGTGGAAGGTGGGGCTCCTTCCTTCGAGAATTCTTGTCTGTGACGGGCAGGTTCCATGCCATACAGCTCCTTTTAGCAGACCTATTGTGTCACAAACCTTGTGGTCGGTAAGCATAATGCTTGGTATTAGTCACCTTGACAGTTTTCTTCTGTTCTGTTCTGTTTTGTTGTTAAGGTGTATAGTAAAAAGGCATTAAAGACCAGCCAGAATGTTAGAAGGTACTGTGTATAGCAAGTCCAATTTTTTGGTTTCTCTTACCATCAAGTAAGAGAAAGTTCCATTAAAGATACCATTGTCCAAAAGGGGGAAACTAAGCCAGGCATTGTGTTGCACACCTGTAATCTTGGGAGGCTGAGGCAGGGGGATCATTGTGAGTTTGAGGCCAGCCTAGGTTACATTGTGAGACCCTGTCTCTCCCCCACCTCCCGCCAAAAAAATAAATAAATAAAAAGAAAGAAAGAAAAGAAACTAGTAACCTCCAGAGCCCTGTCCTGTCCTGGCCTATCCTGGATAATGTGTAAGAGACTAGCCTTCCAGAGGTCTTCTGAATGCTAAGGACTTGGAGCTGATTTGATAAAATATGGAGCCTGGGGGCCTAACATGTAGAAATACCTTATGCTGATAGATGTGGGGAGGTTCTATGTATTCAGACAAGGTGTTCTGTTTCTGTGGCATAAGACTTCATTCTCCTGAAAATAAGACTATCATCTCTGAGATTGTGATTTCTAGATAATGACACTATTTCTGTAACTTCAACTGTGTAAATATTGTAATCTCCAAAGCAAATAAAAAATTTAAAATTTATTTTAACTCACCAGAAGAATAGTTTAGCATAACAGTGAATTATTTAGTGCCACTGACCTATATATTTTAAAAAGGTGGGGGCCGGGGAGTTAACTCAGTAGAATAAGTGCTTGCCTGGCAAGCACAAGGGCCTGAGTTCAATCCCCGGTTCTGCAAAAAAATAAAAATAAAAAGGTACACTTTAATTTACTGTAGGTTATCATAGTCGTTAAAAAGTGTTCATTAAATTGTGTGCTTGTGATGGAAAGTGGGAAAAAGAATGAAAAAAAGCACCATCCTACTACTTTCAATATTTTGTTATGTTTGCTTCAATATTTTCCTGCATTTGCATCCGGTTTTCTGTGCATATTTTTGCACAGTTGAGCTGTCGCCTCTTGCAAGGATATTGTGTTAGGTGCCACTGACTTACTGCTGAGTAGGAAGTTAGGTAGAAAGAGCATGGCGGTCTGTAGAACCCAATGGCTGCATTCAAATTCTGGTTCCTCAGATCTTGATGTACACATGGCAGGCAAGTTGCCCACTCCTCTGCCTTGGCTGCATCATCAAAATCACTGGTTCTCATCAGAGAGTTTTGCCCAGAGGACTCTTGGCAGTGTCCAGAGATGTTTTTGGTAATGAGACCGCAGCAGCAGGAAGGTCACTGGCATCCAGAGGCGCAAGTGAGGGACGCTGCTAAACCTCCATACACAGGGAGAGCTTCAGAATAGATTTATCTGCCCCAGATGTCAGTAGGGCCTAGGTTGAAAAGCTCTGCTAGGTAAGATAGAAGTCGTAGTACCCACTCGTAGGATTGTTACGACCATTAAATGAATTCAAACATGATTAGAGCAATGCTTAGGACATACTAACTCTAGTACTATGTGTTAGCTGTTTTATACTGGTGGCGTTTTACTTCAAATCTAGATTCTAGTATTTAAAAATCTTGTAAACTTTTCTTTTTAATGCTTTTCAAATGCCTTATAGTAAAGTTTTCCACAAAATTTGCATCCTCCTAATAAACTTTTACTTCTTCCCCCAACAGATGAAATTAAAGCAGAACTAGAAAAGCAGAGGTAAGCGATAGAACTTTCTTCTTGATGAAATACAGCATGAAGGGCAGATAGTGCCCATTTCTCCCAACCCCACACTTTTTTTTCTGTCTTTCTTTGCAGTGCTGAGGATTAACTTGCGGACTCTACCATTGACCTACATCCCCAAAACACCCACCCTGTTTTCAAATTTTGACTCAGGTTCTTGATCAGTTGCCTAGATTGGGCTCAAACTTAACTATCCTTCCTGTCTCAGCATCCCAAGTAGCTTGTGTTGCATATATGTGCCACCACACTTGGTGTGGCCATTCCTTTCTGTGAATTCTGTACATTTTCTCCTCAGGAAAAGTACACAATCTCCCAGCACCATGTTGATACAGAATAGAACACAGCTGGTGTGTCTGAATTAATTCTGGGTTAATAGGTTACTGCCACAGTGCTTGCATACTTCGAGGAAAGGTTATTGAAGGTCACGTTAATGCCATTGTATCCTTTCTTGAGAGAAGAGGCAGAACCCTTGTCTCTTGGCTGGCATGCTTACTGATGCCAATCTTCATCATACTGAAAAGAATTAGTGGCATTTTAGAACTATAACTGTAGTGTGGCTGCTACTAGGATGCTGTAGATACAGATCACTAATCAGAGAGGCCTTGCTCTCTGCATGTGACCCTTTAATGGTTTCCTAAAGTTGTATTTGTTCAACCTTTAATTGGCCAGCCACAAGATATAGTTTGTAGGCACTTTTAATTAAATGGTTGCCAGTGTAATGGGAAATTAGAGTAAGATGCAGGGAAAGCAAACTTAAAAAGCAAAAGAAAACCTCTTTTCTGCCCTCTCTTGATTCCCCCTGTAGGCTGGGCACTGCAGCACCACCAAAGGCAAATTTCATTGAAGCTGACAAGTATTTCCTTCCATTCGAGCTTGCCTGCCAGTCCAAGTCCCCCCGTGTGGTCAGCACGTCCCTCGACTGCTTGCAGGTATGCAATTCTTCCAACATCAAGTTCAGACTTGATGGGATAAAGGAGTTCCCTTCAAGTGACAGGCACTCCTTATGCAGAGCCATGCTGGGCATGGTCCTGGGTCCTCAGCGTGCCCTTGGAGGTGGAGCAAGGAGCAGCTCAGCTTATTGTGGAGATCTCATGGGAGAGGAAGGAAGAGGGGTCTGAGCTCCTTAGCTAAAAATGAGAATTTGTTTCCCTAGACATATTTTGTTGTGTTCTCTGATGTCTGTTTTTCCAGCATCAATTGGAATATTTGATGCACATAAACGTATA